AGTTGTAATTGTTTTTGTACAAAAAAATTGCTATTAAAGTGATAAATGAAAAAACTTTGTTTCTGCTTTTATGTTCTTTTTATTATACTAATTACCAATTTTAATCACCCTGAACAAATTTAGAGGAATTTCCGGTGAACAACGAAGTGATGACGAAGTGGAAGTAACCAAAAGATTGCCTTCTTACTCTTGATGCAAAAAAAAATAAAGAAAGAAAGCTGAACAAAAAACAAAATGAAAAAAATTATTCACTCTTTTGTTTTGCTGTTTTTTTATTTCAACAAATAGAAAGAGACATTTAAAAAAATGTATTTTCCTCGTCTTCTTTGTTTTTATTTTCCACTTTTCCTGGTCACTTCAATTGTCACACTTCCGCTCTATTTCTTTTTTTAACTTTAGGTTTAGTCAGCAAATTGATGTTTGAAACAATGGAAAAAAAAAGGCAAGAAACCCGCAACATTTTGTATTGATTTCAATCAAAACAGTAGCAACATAACGAAAAATAGACAAGTTGAAGAAAAATAAGAAAAAGGAAAAAAAAAAGACCACTGGAATACTGACCAAAAAAAAAGATCCCGGTATTGCAAATGTTTGTTTGTACAAATACGTACATATGAATAGTGTTGTTATGTATTCAAAATGTTCATTCTTGTAGTTGCGAAACTTTTCAACAACAATTGAAAAGTTTTGGAATCGTCGAGGAAGTTCCCATGGATTACTGTCTGTAAAACAACAAAAAAAATTAAGTAAATAGATAGCAAATGGGCTAACACTGAATAGTTCTCATCATACGTTATCTCAGTGCTAATCAACAAAAACTTTTTGCTTTTATGTCAAGCAGTCTTTGAATAATCTCTTCTTATTTGCCAACTTCTCTAAGCCACAATTTAGCCCTTACAGACGGTGATACTGCAAAAAATATAAATGATACAAACCGAAACAACAACAACAACAAAAAAAAAAGATACTTTCTTCTATAAATTGAAAAAAAACCAAAGCCAGTTATTGTGTTATCATTTGTTCATTTCGCAGCAAAATCCGTTTTCAGATCCGTTATAATGTTGACACTTTTTTTTTTAATGTTGTTAATTAATAGAAATGTCACAAAATTTTACTTCACCTTTCCATAAGGCACTTCACGCACTATTAAAAAAAGGCACAAAAAGTTTTACCGGAAAAAAACAAGTTTTTTTTCCAAAAAACACATACATACACAGAGAAAAAAAAATATTTTATTAACCTTTCAAAAAAAAAAAAAAAAGTTTTTTTGGGAGGAAATTTTAATGCCAATTCAAATTAACATAACTGAAGCAGCATTGGAAACAAAAGAAAAAAAAAAAGCACGAAAAACTGCTGACGTTTTTTTCTTTTTTTTTCATCATTCAAAGTTGATCAAAATGCTTAAAATTCTGTTCTTCTCAGTTTCAAAATTGTTGTATTCAGTTTTCTGGCCAAGTTTTTAACAGATCAAAAATGGTTACGCTGCTTAAAGTATTAATTTTTATCAAACTATTGGCAAAAAAAATTTTCATCTTTATTTTTTGTTTTCAATGAATATAATTCGTAAGGCTGTCAAATGTGGAAATATTTTTGTTGTCTGAGCCATCGAACAGCAAATTTACTGAATTTATATGCAACAAAAAAAAATTACATTATTTTTCCTTTTCAGAGGGGTTATGTATCAAACGTTACATTTAACCACATCATCAGTAATTCTTCACGCTAATTTCTAGTTTTCCTTTTTTTTTCTTTTTTTTTTTTTTTTTTTTTTTT